GAAACATCGAATGCAATTAGTGCATCGATGCATAAGGAGTGCATCGATGCACTTCAAGGGGAAATTGAAATAGACATTTCTTTTGGTCTAAGAAATGATAGATTATTGATATGTATCAATGTATAATATGTAGATATCGAGTACGAACAAGTCCCGGGATGACCAACAAGTTAATATTCGATCGGAAGAAAGGAAATCATAAAAGAGGATTTGAACTTAGTGAGGCCAAGGTGAGTGCATCTTATTTTATAAATTATATGGAAATTAGACTTGTGATAAGTCTATTTCCTATAGTAATAGCTCATTAAGTCTTAATTATAAGTATGTTAATAACATGAAGTGTACGTATATTTGATTATATGAATTGATATGTTTTTGTATGTGTTATGCGGTTTATGTAAAAACACAATTAAGTGTTAATGAAAAAATATAAAATAAGTTATGAAATTATAGGAATATAGAAGATAAGTCAAGTGATATATGGAAAGGGAAATAGATGTCTATGAAAAGTCATAGGAGAACAAATATAAGTAATATGAGCTACGTGCTTATGAGATATGAATATGAAACATGAGCTATGTGTAAATAAGTTAAGTAATTACATGTGCAAATGGAAATGTTATCTGAAAAGCTATGTGACTATGTGAAGATGTGTAATGGTATAAAAGATAATGCCCATGTTATGTGATATGAGAGCTAGGGGTATAGTTGACATGCCAAGAGTCGAGGGATTATCAGTGGTCCTTCGGGACAAACAATGGTCCTTCGGGACATAGTGGTTCTTCGGAACAATCAGTGGTCCTTCGGGACATAGTGGTCCTTCGGGACAAATATTTAGTGCCCCTTGAGGGAATTATACGAGCTGTGGTGACAGTATAGTACACAACCTCTATGTACTCGCATATCTTTAGTTCTCACATGTGTACCATGGGCTAATAAAGAGATAATATTAATAAACTTGATATGATGATATGCTAGTTTCCTTGTGAAATGTTATGTGTGATATATGATTGTACAAATGGTAATTACAGAATAAATTGATAAAAGGAATCAATGATAGTGCTAAGCATGAACATGATGATATAGTAACAAGTTTACAAGATAAATTATATGAATATAAAAGATCATAGGAATTTGAGATAAGAGATATGAATGATAATGACATATACGTATGTATGTATTTGTTACCTGTAAGAGTGTATGAATTGTATGAATGATAATAGTAATTGTTATGTACGATTATTAGTTAAAGTTTGCATATATGTTTATTGACTCACTGAGTCATAGACTTAGCGTGTGATTGTTTCACACGTAGGTTACAGAAGCGAGAAGAGAAGCGAAGAAGAGCAAGACAAGTCAACATCTCCCTTACAAAATTTCAGATCAGAAAATAGATGATTTAAATGTGTTTGGATATTTCGAATATAGTTGGCATGTACTAAGTGATTGAGTTGAATATGCTCTGATCGATTTTGATTATTTTGATCAATATATATAAATAAACCGCTTTTATTTTAGTGAAAGTTTTAAATTTTCTTTAAATTTTGTCAAGAGTCAAAATCTAAAAGTCAATGTGACACCTCATACTCGTAATCGGGTCGGGTACGAGTTGGGGTGTTACATAGTTCTTTCTCTTTTCTCTCAAGATTAAAAATGCCCCTTTCTAACATTATTTGGACCCCAAACAAAGACCAATCTAAACACTAAATGGGCTAAGCTCCCCTATAAAGCCATTGAGTTTGTCTAAACCATCTTGGGTTAACCCGTAACTCCTAATCTGAGATTTAGGGCGTTACATGTAACGTCTCAAATTTTGGGTTAGTCGTTCGAATCAGTGGTTAGGTTAATTTTTAAGATTTGTGGAAAAAGTCTAATTTTGAAAATTATAAAGTATAAATTATTTTTAGAATATTATTATTGATTTTAACTTGGAATAATTTTAGAAGTGTGATTTTAATGTGATTTAAGCCACAAGATGACACTTATTTGATATCATGTTGATTTGCCCTCCTTAAGACCCTCAAATTGAATTTAGATATGCAATTTACTATTGTCGATGATCTTTCAGTAATTTGATCTCATGTTGTGGTTCGTTTGTTGATGCAGTCAAATTTATTCACATTGATATTTTGTTCGTATTTTTTATATAATTTTTAACATTTTCTTGTGTAGTATTTGTATAATATTAAGTGACTATTTTCTTGTGTCAATAATTATAAAAACTATCATAATTATATGTTTAGTTTAGTTTGTACTTATGATTATAAACTTTCATTATTAAATTTTTACTCTTTATTAATAAAATTTTTATATTTTATTTGCATAAAAAATAAATAAATACTTAATACATCATGTTGTAATCAGATTAGGGTTGGATGAAAAACAACATACCTACCTTCACCCCCACTGAATTCCATTCAATAGCTTTTTCACCCATATGGCAAAGGTTATATCATTAGCTTTATCACTTTTCCTTTTTTATGTTTTTTTTATAAATCACCCGCTTTCGATCAACTGATCGATTAAACTGGATCGGGTACTACGGAGTTGAGCGTGACCCTCCCAACTAAGTTTAGTCCATTCGTAATTGCCAGAATTTGAACCTCTAATCTTATTTAAGGAATTTAATGTCACATCCCAATCGGCTGTCGGTCTTTTTATGTTATTTTTATTTGTTTATTGAATAATCTAGGTTAGGGTTGAACATGTCAAGTCGTGATCGGATTACTCAGTTATCTTTAATTAGTTCTTCTAACCGTTCTGAACCAATTTAATTAATTTTACTCCAAGAAAAAAATAATACAATTTATTTGATCATTTTTTTCAATGTGTATTAAAATTATGTTTGTTTATTTATATAACAATTTAAAAAGAGACTAAACTCGTCCAACTATTGATCAAATTAAGATTAGATGAGGAAAAAAACAACTCATCCACCCACTCCAATGCCACTAATTAGCTTTTGAGTAAATTACATGTTTAGTATCTATATTATTAGTTTTAGTTCGTTTTAGTATTTAAGCTTTTATTTTTTTTCAAAACCATACCTAACATTTAATTTATGTTTCATTTTAGTACCTCGTCGTTAAAAATCTAACAGGTTATTTGCATGTGATATTTTTGGATAAATTGCATCATTCATCCCTCAACTATCTTCTTACTCCTATTTTGGTCACTAAAGTTTAATTTTTTAATTTAATAACTTAATTTTCAAATTACTCCTAATTTAATCACTTTAACTTTCAAATTGATTCTTTATTTTTAATTATATATTAATAAAATAATAATAAAAAATGTTATTTCACAAAATTATTAATAAAATAAATTAGAGTGATTAAAATAGGAGTCATTTGAAAGTTGAGTAGTTAAATTGAAAAATTTTAAACTTTAGTACTAAAATAGGAGTGAGAAGATAGTTGAGTGATGAATGATGTAATATACCCATAAAAATACAGTGTCTTGAGTTTTTAACGATGAGGTGCTAAAATAAAACAAAAACTAAACGTTAGATATGATTTTAAAAAAATTTAAAAATTTAAATACTAAAATGAATCAAAATTTAATAATTTAGATACTAAACACATAATTTACCCTTAGCTTTTACATAGTCCTAATCAGTTTAATCAACCTTACGACAAAGAAAAGGTTATATCATTTGCTTTCTCATTTTCCTTTTTTATCATTTGTTTGTTTCTACCACCTACTTAGATTTAGGGAACTTTAGTTCACAAGATTTTCCTTCGTCAATAAAGCCACTTTCCTCTTTCAAACACTTTCATAATAGTTTACCTTTTCCTCAACTTCTTACTTATTATGCATCTACCCTATACCCACAGTCCCACACAATGCCATCGCTTTTGCCTAGGGGTGTACAAAATTATCCGACCTGATTGATTTGATCCGTCGACCCGAATCTAAAAAAATCAGGTAATTCTCTAAAAAAAATTATCCGGCCGGGTCGGGTACCCGGCCCGACATTTCCCGGGTCGGGCCCGGGTCACAAAATCTAGTTTTTCCGGATCCCGGTTACCAGAGTACCCAGTTAGTTTTTATTTTTATTTTTATTTTTTTATATATAATTATATAAAATATAATGAATTATTTATATTATGGATTATTATATTTTGTATTTTGAATTTTTAAATTTTAAATTTTATGTTCGGATATTAGAGTATGTAATTCAAAGTTTCGAACATTTAAATTTGTGTATATATTTTTTAAAATTAATAATTTAAAAATAAAAAATTAAAAACCGGGTATCGGGTACCCGATTATCGGGTACCCGATTACCGGGTACCCGCAAAATCCGGATACCCGATTACCGGGTACCCGTAACATCCGGATCGGGACACGGGCATAGAAATCGTCAACCCGGAAGTTCCGGGTACCCGGAAATCTGGTACCTGAAAATCCAGGTACCTAGATTTGCACACCCCTACTTTTGCCTAATCAAACTCATATATTATAAAATATGTTAGTTACATATTTAAAAATATTTTTGAAAGTGAACACATATATATTTTTTAAATTAATCATTAGTATTTAATTTATTGATCGACTAATTCAGATCAGACACTGTAGAGGTGAGGGTGACTCTCTCAATCCAATTTGTTTCATTCGCAAATGCTAGAGTTCGAACTCTTAACCTTGTTTAAGAGATCTAATGTCTTATCCCACTAAACTCACTGATTGTTAGTAAAGTGAGCACATATAGTAATAACACAATTTTTAATTGAATTAACATAAATAAATTTTTAACATAAATATCATCGATAAAATAAATAATTAATTAAAAAATTAAATTTCAAAATAAACATGTAATCACCTTCCATTAACTGTGGAATCCGTCTACGACACTATCATTAGTACATAGACCCTTTGATTTCGGTTAACGTGCTCCTGAAACAACGGATCCTACCCAAATCACTCGACATTCAACAAACAACCCCATTATAAGGGCCACCTTCCCTAGGCTAAGTTCTTTACTAGCTCAAACTCAGTCTTCTTAACCTCATTGCAGTGCACCCCACTCTAGCTTTTTCCGAGTTGTAGAGAAATGATGGCTCAGGGAAGATGCAGTGCAATGGCAGTCACGGTCCTGCTCTGCTTGTTGCTGCTCCACTTCGAGTCGGTTCGATCGGCAACTTTCACCGTCGGTGGTAGCGGTGGTTGGACGTTTAACGCCACTGCTTGGCCTAAAGGCAAGCGCTTTAGGGCCGGAGACACGCTCGGTAAGATCATATTCATTACTTCAATCCTTGCTTTTACCAATAGATTCCGTCTTCGTATTTAACACTAGTTTGACTTGGTGCAAATAAGTCATGTTTTAACTAATAAGATTTTGCTCTTGGTTTGTCTATTTTTTAATATGTTTATGTTCGGTTAAATTTTTAATATCTTATTTATGTTTATGTATTTAGTTTTGAGGGTGTTCGTTATCGGTTTATTTAACATTTCGGACATTTTTATTTAACGTTTACGAATATATTCATTTATAACTTCTCAACATATACATTAAGAGTTTGCAAAAACATGTTCAGAAAGTGGTTAAATTACATTACTAGTCCTTAATCTCCTTAGGTTTCACAATTTGAACTTCAAAGTTTACACTATGTTCAATTTAGTCCTTACCTTTACTAATATTTAAAATTAAAAATAAAAGAAAAAAAGAGAACCAAATAAAAAAACTTATCAATGAGTCGATAAAAGAACTAATAAACAAGTATGTTTGCTCGTTTATTAAATGAACATTATACTTATTTATTCAGCTTCATGAATAAATATAAATGAACGTTACATTAAGAGTTCATGTGAACTGTTCATGCTCATTTAGGTTCCTAAATCTGACATAGATATGCGAACATGTGTTTTTCATTGCAGTGTTCAATTACAGCCCTTCGATCCACAACGTGGTAGCTGTAAACAGAGGCGGATACAATTCATGCAAAGCACCAAAAGGTGCTAAAGTTCTGAGCTCCGGCAAGGATCAGATCAAGCTCAGAAAGGGCCAAAACTTCTTCATCTGCAACTCTATTGGTCACTGTCAAGCTGGAATGAAAATTGCAGTCCTTGCTGCATAATATGGGATTTAGATAATTACAGTTTGCTTTAAGTACTAAAGTTGTCAAAAATGTCTACTCTAGTGTGAGTGGGTGGTTGGTGGTCCAAATATTAAAGTCTATAATAATGATAGTTGTGGAAATCTTGATGATGATGCTTTGTGGCTAAGAGTTCTACTTTGTGCTCCCTTTGCAATAAAATGTAGTTGTTTCCAGATTTACTTGGTGACTTCTTCAACATTAAACTAATATCATTTTGTTGATGATTATATACATTTATATATAAAATAAGTCCTAATTGTAATAAAAAAATTATATATATTTATATTTAGTATTTTAATTTTAAAAAAACATTGCATACACTAATTTAAAACCATAATTCAATTATAATTTTATCGATGTGTCATCTTTAATCAATCAATATATGTGGTGTGTGTCGAGATAATATTCGCTCGGCAAAAATAAGTGTCGTTGTTTTATAAATCTCGTCTCGAAGAAAATAAGTGTTTTTCTTCTGACATAAAATAAAACACGAATTTGAAAAGTCGCCACCAATCATTTGTCGAGGTGCGATTGGTCACCAAAAATGATATGTTATTTTAATAAAATTTATAAAAAAAAATAATATTAAAATAACACAAAAAGGGTTTGCTTACCAGAAAATGAATTCGGGAGTCAGTTACGTGTAGGGAAAGATTAGCACCCCACAACGCCCAAAATTAGTACATTTACTTATTAATTAATGTATTTGCAGTAAAATTTACAAATTTGAGTTTAATTTAATTTATGATCCCGTAAAAAAATTAAGGATATTATTTTATGCCAAAAAATCATTTAAGATACCTTCCTAATCAGTTAAGGAGATATTTTATGATTTATTGTATAAAATAATATAACCCGAATATATAAAATAAAGTTTAATGATTAAATCATAAAGATACAAAAATTCAAGTTCAATATTGCAAATAATCCTATAGTAATATTTAATAAATAAAATTATAGGGATTAAATTATAAAATATCTAAATTAATAGTCCTAATTTAAAATATCAAGAAATATAGGCACTATTAATGTAATTTAACAATAAATAATTATACGGGTTAAAATATAAGTTATTAAAATAATAGGGACTAAATATACAACTTTACTTTAAATATATGTACATATTGGCATGGACTAAAAAGAAATAAAATAAAATGCGAAGACAAAATTAAAAGGCACAGAAACCTGATTTCGTGACTATTGAGTTAATCGATTGACGGAATCGGCCAAGAGGGGGGTGAATTGACAATTGAAATTTTATGGAAGCTTTTGCAGAAAATTGAAAGTAATTGCACAACGATTTAAAGTGGTTAGACTTTCTCAATCAAAGTCTACGTCCACTACCTTAGCTATCCACACTAAGGATTTTCCAACAAATTCACCAATTTGTTCTTTCTTTTAAGGCCAAAGAGATAACCTTACAACACCCTCAAGAATATACCCCAATTCTTGAGAACACTCTTTCCCAAAGAGAAGATTACAAATTTCGTAAACTTACAAGAAAAACCTCACAAGGTAAGATGTTTGCACAATTCTAGAACAAAGAAAGAACACTCAAGAATAAATATAATTGAGCACAATAAGTGTTCTTGAAAGCAAAATGAATATTGAATGAAAAATAGGCTTGAAATGATCAAACTTGAGGTTTGATGCTTTCTCTTTGATTCTCTCTTGATTCTAGTTGCTTGTTGTTTCTTGTTGTTGATCAATGGCTTCTAAGCTTGTTTAAATACACATTGAATCACTTCTGAACGTTGGGGATCATTAATGAAGTTATTGGAGCCGTTTAAGTATGAAAACAACTAATATTTCTGCTTGGAGCGTGGGGGGAATCGGTACCCCCTCATGGGGAATCGATTCCCTAAGTGTAAAATTCAAATATTCGATCGTTGAACAGTGGGGGAAATCGATACCCCATGGGGGGAATCAATTCCCTCCGAGCACATTGTTATTTCTCGGAGCAAAACCATTCAGGGGGAATCGGTACCCCCTTGGGGGGAATCGGTTCCCTCTGGACAAACTGTAATTTTTGGCTTTGAAACGGTTCGAAATACTTTGTAAAATTGTTTTGAAATTATTTTAAGATTAAAACTTAATTTTACACTTTAGTAAGGATTTAAAATGAACTTTGAAATACTTTGAGTAATATTTTGATATTCGAATAATTATATCGAATATACTTGGAAAATCATTAGGAAAATCTTAAAATTCATTTATCTTAATTTGTTATATCAAAATATCAAAATGTATTCAACAATCTCCACCTTTTTGATATAACAAAACATTTTAGTAATTTTAAGATTTTATTTTGAAATCAAGTTTCAAGTTTGAAATTACTCTCCCTTACTCTAACACTACTCCTCTTTAAAAAAACGCTTTTAACATTTCTCCCCCTTTTTGTTAAATAAAAAAGACTCGTAAAAGATTTTAATCAAGGTTTTGAAATCATTTAGCCAATATATATATATATATATATATATATATATATTAAGCTGCTAAGATCACAATCAAGAGAAACGTTAGCCATTAGTTTCATAATCAATATTCATAAACAATGTGACATGGCAAAATTGGTCATATAGCTAACATGATGTACATGATGCAATAATGAATAAATTTAACCACACCAAATATATAGAAATATAAGTTCAAACCATCCATAAATCCAAACAAATTCAAATTCAATCAATCCACAAATTCAAACATTCCAAAATATTCAAAATGTTAAAACAATAAGCTTTAAGTTCAAAGTACTAAAGCATAACACAAAATCAAGCAACTGTAGGAGGATCGGGAGGAAGAAAATGAGCTCACATAGCGGCCATCTCATGTGAGAGTGCATCAATGCGTTCATTTATAGAAGCGTTGTTTGGCGCATCTCCCGAAGAATTTCTAATTGTTGAGCTCCCATTGTGGATAAATGAGATTCTATAGAAGTGAAGCGAGAATTCATGGAAGTATATCGGAAATCGAATGTCTCCATAAAGGATCGAAAGTATGGAGGCATTTGATCCTCTGGCTGTTCTTGTTCCTCTGCTTGTGCTTGTTCCTCGTGCTGTTCTGGTTCATCGTCAGAGTCGTCAACTTCATGCGGTTGCTCACCGGTACGAACCCAAAAACCAGTTTCTTCATTGATCTTTCATCCCGATTTAGTTAAAGAGAATAGATTGATTTGGTTTCTGAGGGGAAATGAAGCATCAAGACTAACTCTAAGCCCATCCTTCTTAAACAGATTACTAAGAATACAACCGTAAACTAAAGAAGAACACAATTTCTTATTGGGAACAAGATTTACAGTTTCGATAAGTTCAGCAAAAATAATATGTGGAAGATTAATTTTGTGATTATTTTGGACACAATGAAGCCAAAATAAATCTAAGGCTCGAAGAGTAGAGTAATGGCCTCTGGATGGTCGAAACCACCAAGAGATCATGAGGTGAAGAAAACGGCCATGAAGATCTAGAACACTTGCTAGACTATCCCTTCGCTTATACTGAGATCCTACCGTAAGTTTTTCATTGTCTAACCCTTCATTATCTAATCCTAATGCTTTGGCAATGGATTCCGAGTCAAGATGAAAGAATCGTCCTAGAAGATAGGATCGGATCCCTATGGTTAATGTTTTCTCTCAGTTTTTAATGCAAACAACATTAGAGTAGAAGATACGAACAAGTTGGTGGTAGACACTGGGTTCAAGCTCAAAGAGTTTGTCAAATTTCCACTCATGAAGAGTAGGAAGATGACGAAAATTGATGTTTAGCATGGCTTGAAGAGATGGGATACGTTCTTCCCGGATTTTGTAGGACTCAAAGTATTGACAAAACCTATAGTAGAGATTTTGTTTACAACCGGGTTCATTGAAACAAGAATTGAGAATGGTCATGTTTGGATCATCGGGATTAAGAATAGGAATTTGTGGGATACGTGGAGGATTTGGAGGTAAGTTTGGAGGTTGGATAGAATGACTAGAGGAGGCACTAGAACGTTTATGAGACGTGGTTTAAGATAATCAGAATGGAAAGATAACCTGCATTTTTAAAAACATATGTATGCAAAATAATCAATCCCAAAACTCAATTGAGTCCTCAATATTTCAAGGTTCTCTAAACCAATCCTAATGGGCAAAGTTTTTGAAAAACTTATTGAAAAATAAAGTTTTGAAAATCAATATATGTATAGTTTTCATAACAACAACGTAATTCAATCAAAACACAATAATTTGAAAAATAATTTTTTTTATTTCGAAAATTTCAAAAAAAAAATTGGAAAATTCTTGTGTTTTTGATGAAATTAGTTGTAAAATCTAGTTTCTAATCACTAAACAATCAATGTCCGATCTAACCTTCAACCTAGAACTAACTAAAAACTAGTTCTAAAATCAAAATTTGATGAAATAGAAGTTTTAGAAAAACACCTTGAAGAATTTCGGATTTGAGTGAGATTAGATGAAGTTTGCACGATTTTGATGATTCTAACAGGTTTAGGAGATGATATTTGAAGAGAATTCCGATTAAAATATTGTTTTGAGGCAAAGTGAAGATTTGAGAGATGGAAAGAGTGAAAGGCGGCAAAGGAAGAAGAGGAGAGGGTTTGAGCAAAAATAAGGGTTCTGCCCGATAAAACCAGAACCCTCAGGGGGTATCGATTCCCCTGTGGGGGGAATCGGTTCCCCTTCAAAGGGGGAATCGGTTCCCCTTCAAGGGGGTATCAATTCCCTCTGCCCTATAATTCAAAATTGTGTATTTTAAACACTCAAAATGCTAAATTAATCTTCTCTGGTGGTATTGGCAACTCATATATCAAAAATTAATTATGTTCAATCAATCAAATTAATCCTTAAACTACATTTGAACATAAAGTTAATTTTTCATTAAGAATCATAAACTCCCCCTAACTAATAGAAATGAATGTAATCATAAATTACTATTATAAGCATTTTTCATTTATTCTTTAAAGTGCTAAAATTATTTTAAACACCAAGTGAAGATAGGTCAATTAAACCTAATTCTCTCCTAAGTGTCCAAAAATGTTCCTTGTCTAAAGGTTTTGTAAAGACGTCCGCTAATTGATGCAAAGTATCAACAAATTCTAGAACTACATCTTCCTTAGTGACATGGTCTCTAATGAAGTGATGTCTTATTTCAATGTGCTTAGTTCTAGAGTTGGATGAGATTT